TAAATACCCTTGTTCTTAGGGCTTCCTTTCCTCTGTCTCTTGTCCTTGAGCTATCGCCCAGGAACTGTGGTGCTCAAAATTATGCTTTGGAGCTTTAACACCCAGTTTGGTAACTCTTGAGACATAGTTCCAAACAGCTTTCCAGGACAGCTGCACCAGTTCACGGGTCCAACAGGGTATCAATGGCCTGGTTTTCCCATAGCCTCACTGACTTCCACCGTGGTCCTTTGTTGTCCACGTGGCCAATCTGATGGGTGTGAGATGGAACCTCAGAGGGGCTTTAATGGGCATATCTCTGATTATGAGTGATTTGGAGCCTCTTTTTCAAAAGGTTGTTGATAGCTTGCGTTTCTTCTTGTCCATACCCTTTGGCCACGTATGTGTTAGGGAATGGCTCTTGGTCTTATAAGCTGGAGTCGCTTCCTTCTCTGTCTTGGATATGGATCTGTGTGCAGGCTTTGCTAGACCCATGCCTGAGGGTTTCCTGCCTGTTCCTGAGTGTGGACAGGAGCTAAGAGGGAAGAACCAGTCAGCCAGTCAGTCAATGAGTCATTGAACATTTCTGAAGCACCTACTGTGCGCCTAGCACTGTGCTAAGCCTGGGAGGACAAAGAACAGCCCTCAAGGAGCCCACACTGTAATGAGGGAGACAAACAGAAACAGATAAATAGAAAGCAAGCCAAGAATAGGATAAATAGACAACAATGAACAGAGCAAGGGCAGTGGAATGAAGAGGCAGTGGGGAGGGCTTCCTGGAGGAGGTGGATTTCACTAGGGACTTGAAGGAAGCCAGAGAGGGGAGTGGAGCGCCGCTGCCTGGGGATGGCAGACTTGCAGTCCTGGGCTGTGGGGTACATGCTGGGCTGACACAGCCTCTCTCCACCAAGGACCATGGACGAGTCATGACAGCCTGTAAGGGGAGACTGTCCTTCTGGACCTTCTGGAGCTGGTTCAGCTTAGCTAACCAGTGCTTGGGAGGAGCTTCCAAAAGACCCAGGTCAGCTCTACCTTCCCTTTTGGCTGCAACAGCAGGCATTGTTGACATCTGGGTAAATCAATGATGGGAAATAACCACATGGCCCCTGAGCCCTTGGGCTTTGGCTTCAGCCTTTTCTGTCCTAGGGACCACAAGGGAAGTCTGTGACCGTGGGAGAGAGAGCGCCATAGAAACATGGGGGTCGGAATCCAGGCAGATGCTGCAGCTGCCTAGCACTGACGCTTTATCCTTAGGGGGCTGTTCAGCCCTCATTCTCACATGGACCAGTGACATCAGGAGGGTGACGCCTTGCTTTTTGCAAGTGTTTGGGTGGAAGTGAGGCAGAGCTGCTAGAGTTGTCAGCCTCGCCCTCTACCCCAGAGTCTTCGGGGCCCAGTGGCAGGACACAGGTCAGGATTACTGTAGAGGCAAAGCTGCGGGTCAGGCCTCTTCACTGATTGAGCCTTGGAGCAGGGCCAAGGATTTTGGTGACTTTGAGGAGCTGTGGTTAGAGCCCCGCAGGAGCAGGTCCCAGGAGGATGGCTGTGGGCACTGGGAGGGAAGCCTGGGCATTCTCAGGGCTCTTGGGTTCAGGGACCAGGGCTGTGAGGGGAGGTGGTGGTCCAGGTGTGCTTTCTTCTCTCTCAGAGCACCCTGTTTGCTGCTTCAGGGAGGCTGGCTTGTCTGTCCTGTGTGGGGCAGTTGGTTAACGATTAGTGGAGATAGCTACTTCTCCATAGCAGCTGCTTCCTTGGTTAATGGCTATGAGGACCATTAAGGCTAGAAGTAGGCTGGCAGCTGTGCCCACCTGAGGTATTCAGGTCCTCCTGACTACAGGGCCAGTGCTCTATCCACTATGCCACTTAACTGCCCCCTGAGCTACTCCTCGTGAGGGGACATGTAAGCCTGGCCTGCAGAGTGGGGCTAGAGCATATAGGTTAGGGGTCTGGAGCCTCCTGACCCCAGCCCCCTTCAGCCGTGTTCCCTCCCACTGTTAGGTGCCATAGGTCACATGCCTCTGTGCCCTGTAACTAATCACTTAGCTTTAATTAACCTTTACAAAAATAGAGTTATTTCAAAGATAAGAGCAAGAATAAAGTCCATGCTTTCTCCCACACACACTTTGGGGACGTGTTCTCCTCTGTGCCACCTCAGCAACTGGGGCGGTGTGCTCAGAATTGCCTCTTTCCCACACGTAGCTTTGATCCCCCCAAGTTCTTCAGTACCTCCCTATGCTTCTCCCTAGAACAACACGGGGCTGGTGGTTGTTCAAACCAATCTCTACCTCGTGGTGGCCACGTATCAGGAGGACATGTATGCCAGCGTGTGCGTGGAGGCTGTTGAGAAACTGGGTAAGAGACCCACGGGCCAAGATGTGTATGCGTCTCGGGGACCCATTCCTAATGGCTGATACTCCAGCTTGGCAAGATCGTCCACCAGTACTGGGCTACCACATTGTCCTTCCTCCACTCGGCGGCCTTCAGAGGCCTCCTAGCCAGGTGGTTGAGACTGTGCCTAGCCTGCCTCTGTGCCTTCACTGCCCTTGGCCCAGCCATCCCCATCTTCCTGCATGCCACACCCCAGCCTAGAATACTTCCCCTCCTCACCACCCCCTGGATTTACTGATCTGTGTCCCCCTGAGTATGCAGGCTTCTGGGGGGCACTGCTTCCCAGGATCCCAGAGCTAAGAGGGACTTCAGTGGCTACTGAGCCCGACCCCCACCTGTCTCTACTGCTTCCTGATAAGGGATTGTCCAGCCTTGAAGAGCTGTATGATAGGGAGCTCACCCCCTCCGTACTCACCCCATGCCTGCTGGGCTCATGGAGCACATATGACAGCCCAACAAATACTTTGGGGTATCCTCCCCCTCACCGAATTTTCTCCAGGCTCAACATGGCCAATCCCTTCATAGAGAGGTCATGAACTTTAGGCCTTTCCCATCTAGGCCCCCCTCTAGTTTATCAGTGTCCTTCTTAAACCACAGTCCTCTTGATGAGGCCCGATGAGGGCAGAGGAGAGCAGGACTCTCACTTCCCTTTCTGGCTGCTGCCCCAGGGGAACAGAGGCCAGTCCATTGCCCCCAGCTGATCTGCAGGACATGTGCTTCCCACACCTCCACACCTCCCCACCTCTTGACATTCCCAGAGGAGTGTACAGTCGGGGTGGGGGAGAATCTGGAAAGGCCTTTGGAAGGAGATGGCCTCTGAGGGGAAGGAGAGGGGGTGACATCCCAGCCTAGCAGCAGCATAGAAAAGATAAACAGGCAAGGCACTGGGGAGCCCTGGAAGATTTGAGCAGGGGAAGGCAATGGAGAGAGCTGTGGTTTTGGCAAACTGTCCCCAGAGTCATAAAAGCCCGGGGCCTGGTCCAACAATGGAGATTTGGGCCTGGGCCCCTTCCAGAGCCTGGCTCTGCTGCTGTGGCCCAGCAGATGCTGACTTTGGGGACTTGGGGGATGAGTCAGATTTTACCTGTTTCCTTCATCTTGTCCTCAGCCCCACAGAGGTCTCCTCTCTCACCTCTGAGTGTCCCAGCCTCAGAGAAAGGCTACTCAAGCCTAGTGATCCTCAGAGACAGCACCTGAACCTGTCCCAGGCTTCTGTCCAGAGCTAAGCTGCAGGGTCTGAGACAGAGGCCAGCTGACCACAAGTCAGAGCATCTCACTTGTTTTCTCCTAGGTGACTACTTGAGGAAGAAGGGAAGTTAATTCACTCAGAAGACTCTGAAAACCTCAACTGTCTTTAAGAAAAAACAAGAAATTTCTGGAGAGGAAGGTTGGGGTCATGAATAATGGACTAGGCTATGCAGCGTCACAGTCACACTCAGGGTCTGGATTAGGGCAGAGGTCCTGTTGAGGGTCAGAAGTAGGGTTAGAGTTATTGTTAACATCCTAGGCTGTCCGGGGTTAAGGATCAGGGTTGGGGTCAGAGCCAGGGTTAGGGTTGGTGATGTGGTTCACAGTTTAGACTGTCCAGGGTTAAAGGTCAGGATTAGGGAGGATATTAGGGTTGGCAGCTTAGATTGTCCAAGGTCAGGGTCACAGTTGAGGTTAAACACTGTGTGAGGGCTGCTCTTAGACTGTCCAGGGTCAGGGTCAGTGTCAGAGTCTCCAACCTGAAGAAGTAAGCAGCCTTTATCTTGAAGAACAGATTCTTGGATGCCTGTTCAGAGGGCCTGGAGGCCTAGAGGAAAAAGCTCTTTCTTCCTGGGGTTGGAATCTAAAAGGCCATTCCTCCAGGGCTTTCTGGCCCAGCCTCTGGGGCACTTTGGGCCTCAGGGTGTCTCCCCAGGCCTCCTGGTGCTGCTGCTGTTCCTGTGAGAGGCTTTGCTCAGAACACTGTCCCTCCTTGGTTATACCTGAAGGGCCACTAGGTGGGTAGTGGGGGCATAGGGCAAAATGTGTCACCCAACCTTGGGACAGATTTATTGCCCCCAGGAGTCCAAATGCCAGCCCCCAGGGCCCTTGTCCACCCTTGAGAAAATAGGAACTGTGGTTGTTAGCAAGCCTTCACACTGAGATGTCACCCCAGAGACCTTTCCATGGTCCCCGGCCTCAGATCTTGGCTCTCGGCTCTCGGCTTTCTTCAAAGCCAAATAAACCTCTTCCTCATCTTCTGTGTTGCCTCACTGTGGGCAGCAGGACCTTTGGCACCAGCGGCCTGCCTGCTGCTTGGGCTCAGATGGGAACTGCTCGGCAGCCTGGAGAGGAGCCCTGGGTGGGGGAAAACGAGGCCCGACGAGGGGCAGGAGGGCCGAACAGGGTTGCCCTCCCAGCTCTGCACTCCTTCAAGCCCCGTGTGGGTGATCTGGAGTGAGCAGGAAATTCTGGCACTGAGGTAGGCACTCTGGGGGGATCAGCCTCTGCTCTGGACACACACAGACACACTGGGAAAGGAGGCCCAGACCATTTCCTGGCAGATCCAGGCTGCCTGTCCTCCCAGGTCCCAGGCTCCCAGTTCCCCCCCTCTCCCTCTGTTTCACTTCCCAGGGTTTTTTTTCCTCCTTTTCCCCCGTGGCCATCCCTTCTTCCTTTCCATGTCCAGGCTCCTCCTCTGGGGAGGTCAAGATAGCCCAGCAACAGGCAGCCACATTGCCCAGGCTCATTGATATGCTTAATATGTACTCACTCTCTTCCCTTCCCATTTGTCATAGCTCCCATTTGCCTTGAGCTCTGAGGCTCAGCTAAGGCTGTTTTAAGGCAGAATTGACTCACTCAGGATTGTGGGGAGGAGGGAGATCCAGAATCCTGTGAGGTAGGTGCTGTTATCCTTTTATAGATGAAGAAACTGAGGGTCAGGACGAGTGAGTGTCTGAGGTAGGACCACGAACCCAGTCTGCCTGATCTCGGCATTCCCTGCTACCTTCACAGGGCTGCCTCTCGGGTACAAGGCTGGAGGCCAGGTGTAGTTGTCTCTTTCTCACTCACAGCATCAGGGTTTAAGTGCTGGTACCACCTGGGTGGTACTGTCCATGGTCTTCTCAGAGGGCAGGGGGCTGCTCTGCTCCTTCTGAGGTAAACTCCCTGGGGGCAGGGACTGGTCCCCATCCTGCCTCAGCTCCCTGGGGTTCAGGACATCAGAAGACAGCCAGCCAGGAATGTTGCGGTGAGGCTGATGTGTGCAGTGGTCAGCTCCCCTTCCTTGGAGGTCCTCGGGGCTGGGTGACACCGGGCAGACGTGTCCAGTTCTGAGGCCTTCCGTCCCTCGGCCACGCTGTCCAGGCCAGCATCTTGCTTGTGGTGGGCGCTTAGTAAATGCTTGTAACCTTCGCTGGCCAGTGGCTTAATCTCTGAGGCTCAGGATTGTGATCTGTGCAGGAGATGCCTGGACTCCATGACCTAGCTCGAAATTCAGCTGTTCTTAAAGACGTGTGTGGAAACTGTTTGGAGTCAGTACTCTTGCTTGTGATCGTTTCTTCCCAGTCCCTTTTCCATCTGCCGCCCCTTTTGCATGAGTGTCCCCCAAGGTTCTGTTCTTGGTTCTCTCCTCATCTCCCTTTACCCTCTCTTTTGGTGACCCCGTAAGTCCCCATGGACCCCATGCAGATAGGTACCAAATGTATGGATCTTCTGGATAACCCAGTCTCAGTCCTAAGCTCTAGTCCAGCTGGTAGATCTCGCAAACTGGATGCTCTGTACAGAACTCATGATCTTTCTCCTAGAACCCTCCCCATTTCTGAACTGGCTTGTCACTACCTGCCTCCTAATCCCCGGGGCTACATCCTCATTGTTGGATCTTGTCATCTCCACCTTCATGACATCTCTTGTATAAATCTCCTTTCCCCATCACCCTCTCCTCCCTATGAGAGGCCTCAAAGAAGACCAAGGCCTCAGTGCTCCCCAGCACCTGCTTCAGCCCCTTCACAGCCGTTGGAATAAATTGTTATCTGCCCGTTCTGCCAGGGAAAAAATTCACGTGTTTGGGGTAGACACCCCACTAACTCACCGAGGGGTCTGAGGCCCTTTGGTTACACTTAACCTAGTTTGGCCATTGTTTACCTGAGTGTAGATGTGGCCGATGCACACGCTGCAGCTTCTTGGAGCCGCAGGTGACAATTGGGTGAATTAGGTGGATGCCGAAAGTGGATGAACAGCCTTCACACGAGGCGCTAGTCCCCTTGAGCGCCCCATACGCCCCAGGGGATATCGGAGAGGATTGGGGCCGGTTGGGGAATGGGTGAGACTGGAGTCCCGAATGACAGGCTGTTGGCCTGAGGGACTGGGAGGACAGCGGAGCCCTCTTCAGCGACAGAGAAGTCGTAGGGCAGGGGCTTGGGGGGAGAGAGAGTAAATTCCTTTTTAGGCTGATTTCGAGATTCGGCCACCAGGAGGGTGGAGCTATCCAGCAAAGCCTCACGCCGTCTAGGAGTCGGTGGGGAGGGCTGCCTCACTACCCTGACCTCCAGGTTCGGAGGACCGTCTCAGCCCCGCCCTGGGGCCTGGCAGCTCTCGAAGGGCAAGACTGGCCGCGGAGCTAGAGTGGCGGCGGGGATCTGAGGTTCGAGGGCAGACCAGTCAGTGTCGGTGGAATTGAAGTCTCGGCTAGTTGGAAGGAGGGTAGGGCGAAGCTGGTAGGGGAGCTTTCCGGGTCAGTTCCTCTAGGCCGAGGCGGAGTCAGAGGCGGAGCAGAACCAGAGAAGAAGGCGGCCTCCCCCGCCTCCTCTCCACCCCAACCCCAACCCCCCAGGTCCAGCGGGCACGCCTAGCTTCCCTGCCCGGAGCACCCTGCGCCCCCCCAGTCTGTGCCTGCTCTCTGCCTTTGGCCACACGTCCGCGTCCGGGTCCACACAGGTAGGAGCTGCTAGGGTAGCGAGCTAAGAGAAGATTCCGGGAGAGGCCAAGTGGGGAAAGGGAGGCCACAGCGGGAGGCACTCTGGAGGCCCCCCGCCGTTTAGCCCCCTCCAGTAGCCCCTCAGCACCCGGGATGGGGACGTGCCTCCCCAGAAGTCCTTAGCTTAGGTGGGACTTGTTCCCTTCGTGGAGGGGGTGGCACGAGATGCCTCTAAGATCCCTTTCATCGCACCCCCGCCCCACTGCCTTCTCCACCTTCAGCTGCCAGGAGTTCTGGGTGGGTCTGCCTGACTCAAGTGCTGGACCCACGCCGGCAGCGGCCACGCCCTGGGTCGGCCCCTGGGGTCAGCCCGTTCCCTTTCCCCTAGCTGGGCATCCTGTCCCCACGCCAGTTAGCTAGCTGTCTACCGGGGTACTTGGTGGACACTTACGACTCCGGATGAGATTGAAGCACTTTAATTATCGAGCAGTAGCCTTGCACTGGAGACGGCTCCAGGCTCTGCGAGAGTATCCTAGGTCATGCTGGTAGTGCCCCCCGCCCCGGCCTCAGGCTCTGCAGGGAGGTCCCGGGCTCTTCCGTACACCTAGAGCCGGAGCTGGGGGGAGGAGGCAGTGGGGGCTCAGACACCTGGCAGACTGTTCCACTAGTGATGACTATGGGACATTCAGAGGGTCGAGCATTTCTTGGCTTAAAAGCGTGTTGGATTGTTCCGGGGCTTTATTTCTCACTGAATCGAGTGAGTTTAAAATATTCTGGTTAGCCCTGGTATTTTTCTTGCCATTTATCTTTTGGCTGGCTCAATCACCTTCTGCTAAAGCTATGGGGCATCTCCCACTATTCTTGATGTCTGGATTCATTCTTCTGGTAATTCCAAAGGCTAATCCTTTATGCACTTTGACCATCTGTCCCATGGCTTTACACTCACTTTGAACAAGCCCTTTTGAAGTTGTGAAGTATTCTGTCTCTCTCTCTCTCTCTCTCTCTCTCTCTGTCTCTCTCTCTGTCTCTCTCTCTGTCTCTCTCTGTCTCTGTCTCTCTCTGTCTCTGTCTCTGTCTCTGTCTCTCTCTCTCTCTCTGTCTCTCTCTCTGTCTCTCTCTGTCTCTCTCTGTCTCTGTCTCTGTCTCTCTCTCTCTCTCTCTCTCTGTCTCTCTGTCTCTCTCTCTCTCTCTCTCTGTCTCTCTCTCTCTCTCTGTCTCTCTCTGTCCTCTGTCTCTCTCTCTCTCTCTCTCTCTCTCTCTCTCTCTCTCTCTCTCTGTCTCTCTCTCTCTGTCTCTCTCTCCTCTCTCTCTCTCTCTCTCTCTCTCTCTCTCTCTCTCTCATCCTCTCCCCCTCCCATTCCTCCTAGTTTTCCCCCTTTGGGACCAAACAAGAGAAGTCTAACCCTTTCCCACAAGTTGAGCAGTTACCACCAGAATCTTTTCTTCTGCAGACTAAACATGCAGTTCCTTCCACCATAGCCTAATATGACATGAATTCAAGGCCCTTTGCCCTCCTAGTTGTCCTTCCGAGGACACTTTAATGCTTTTCGAGGCTTTGATAAGCTGTGCAGCCCAGAGCTGAGCACCGCACTCCCAGTGTGGCCAAACCAGGGCAGCAGGCATGGGGGCCATTCCCTTCCTGTTCCATCTAAACTCAATCCAAGAGCCCATGAGCTTTCTGGGGTGCCATGTCAGATTGCTGACTCATACCGAGTTTGCAATCACTCTAACGCTGAGCTCCTTGCCAGAAAAGGACTTCTGGCAGCCCAATGGAAGACTGACAATGTGGAGCCCCCTCCCTTTGCTCTGGAGTCATCAGCTTTTGTCCTTTCTGGGGTAGGGGCTGACTCTGGGGCCGTGACTGCCTCGGACTAGGGGCAGCCTCAGGCTCATCAGCCTTCCTTCCCCTCCTTGGCCTTGGACAGCCTGCCTCTTCAGGGTTCAGCAGGGTGCCTGGCCCATACCAAGTGCTTACCAAATGTGTGTTGACTGGCTGACTGGCTGCCCAGGCAAAGGATTCCATGTGAGCCACAAACTAGGGGGTGGGAGGCAGATGGTGTGGGTGCTTTGCAAGCTGGGAACCTGGGGGACCCTGAGCCAGCCTCCCTGGATGAGTGGGCTGACAATTTAAAATGCTTTTGTCCCTGTTTTCCCAGGACAGCACAAGCTTGACCCGTAGGAAGGGCTCGATTGTGTTATAGAAGGAACGACTGGTTGTTGGACCAGGGTTGAGCCCTTCGGGGAGGGGAGAAAGAAGAGAGAAGAGCATCCCCTCCCCCATTCTTTTTGTCTACATTGCTGTCTGGTCTCGCTCTCTCCAATGTTCTGTCTTTCTCTACCTCCACCTGCTTATGTTTTCCATGCGCCGGTGGTGAGAGCAGAGGATCATGTTAGCAGTGCACTTTGACCAGCCTGGGGGCCCTGAAAACCTTTACCTGAAAGAGGTGGCCAAGCCTGAGCCAGGCCCAGGAGAAGTCCTCCTGAAGGTGGCTGCCAGTGCTTTGAACAGGGCAGATGTGTTGCAGGTATGAACCGGCAGGCTGCAGGCTCTGGCAGGGGCTTGGGTATGACACTCAGGGCTTTAGTTGCTACCCTGCCCCGGGCAGTGGGAACTGGTATGTTTTTAGACAATCACCTTGCCAGGTAGAGAGTTTAGGATTTTCAGTTTCCTAGGTGAGGAAGGGAAGCTGAGAGAGGAAGAGGGGCTTAGGTAGGGCCCCACCCTAAGTGGCCTTGATAGGATTTAAATCTAGGTCTTCTGAGGAAAAATTGAACCCCCTTCCCATTCCATCACAAACACTCAATTACTGTCAGCTTCTCTAGCCAGGGTGACATGGAGGCCAGAAGCTGACTCCTGATCTGTTTCTGTCCTTATGTCTGGTCAGGGATGGGGGGCCAGGGCCTCTGTTCTAGAGGGATTCTGGGAAAGGCTCACTTTCTGCTCCCTGGGAAGCCCAGACTCTATACCAGTCCTGTCATTGGCTCAGTTTGGGCCTCAGTTTCTCTACTTGTAAAATGAAGGAGTTGGACTCAATGCTTTGAGAGATCCCTGTCACCTCAATTTGACAGTCACTTCTGGTCCCCTCTGTACATGACCTGGCCAGGGAGGGGGCGAAACACCTCCTCTGATGCTTTTACATTCTCTGTCCACAGCGCTGGGGCCAGTACAGCCCGCCCCCTGGAGCCAGCAACATCCTGGGCCTGGAGGCATCTGGCCACGTGGTTACAGTTGGCCCTGGCTGCCAGGGGCCATGGAAAGCAGGGCACTCAGCAATGGCTCTGCTTGCTGGGGGGGGCCAGGCAGAGTATGTTACGGTCCCTGAAGGTCACCTCATGCCTGTTCCCAAGGGGCTGACTCTGATCCAGGCAGCAGCCATCCCTGAGGCCTGGCTCACAGCCTTCCAGCTGCTCCATGTCATAGGTGAGAAAGCAAGGTTAGGTTTCTGCATCTTCTCCTGAGCCTGGGGACAGAGTTGTAGCCACCAACAAGCTCTGGGAGCCTTGTGGGTCCCCCCAACCCCCACCCTTTGTGAAGTTATATTCCCAACAGCTGTTTGTGGGGTTCAAATTGTAACTGGCTTCTGAGAAAGATGGCTGTCCCACAGTGGAATAGCCCACCTCAGGAGGCAGTAGCACCCCCTCCAGAAGATTCCTGTTCAGGGACAGGTTGAATGAGCAGCCTTGGGTGTGTGTGTGCTAGGACCCAGATTGTGATCTCTGCCTGTGCTTCCCCAGTGATGCTGCTGTGGATGGCTCAGTTTACCCACCCCACCTGTGTGGATAGAAAAAGAGAGCGTCCTGGAGGAAGTGGGGCCAGAGTTTGGAGGCTATACAAGGGGTAGGGAGCACAGCACTTGAGAAGAGCCAGGAGGAGCCTCACAACCAGCCCAGAGGAGGACTCATGCTGGAGAGTCAGATTAAGGTGGGGTGGGGGGAGAAGGGAGGAGATGGAAACCTCAGAGACAGGGAGATGAAACAGTGCCTGACCCCCAACCACACAGCATGTCCCTGGCAGTCTTCTTGACAGAGAAAACAAGAAGAGTAGGAACCGAGCAGCCCAATGCTGCTTTGGACCATCCGCGGCTTTCCTCATCACCTCGTACTCATCTTGAGCTCCTTCACCTCATGCCATGCTCTTCAGTTCACTCCATTTAGAGCAATTTCAGGCCTCTCATTTCTCGAATTTTGTTTCCTGTGAACTTCCCAGTATCTCAACCATTACTGACCCTGCTTTGCAAGCAAGGCTGTGACGGCCAGCATAAAAGATGTGTGTGTATGTGCATGTGCACATACATGTGTGTGTGCATGTGTGTGCACAGATGTTATTTTCTCCTCCTTCCTTTTAAATTGAAAGCTTTTTAAAAATTAGTTTTGCAAGATACTGGGCAAATCTCTTTTTTCCCAATTTATTCATTTTTAGTTTTCAACATTCACTTCCACAAGATTTTGAGTTCCACATTTTCTCCCCATCTCGCCCCTTCCCCCCACCCCAAGATGGCATGCATTCTGAATATCCCTTCCCCCAATCTGCCCTCCCTTCTATCACCTCCCCCACTTTTCTCATTCCCTTCCCCTTCTATTTTCCTGTAGGGCGGGATAGATTTCTATACCCCATTGCCTGTGTATCTTATTTTCTAGCTGCATATAAAAACAATTCTTAACATTCGTTTTTAAAATTTTGAGTTCCAAATTCTCTCCCTTTCTCCCTCCCCACCCACTCTCATTGAGAAGACAAGCAATTCGATACAGGTTATACACATATAGTCATGTAGAGCTTCCATAATAATCATGTTGTGAAAAACTATTTCCCTCCATTCTATCCCCCCCCCCATTTATTCCATTCTCTCCTTTCACCCTGTCCTCCTCAAAAGTGTTTGCTTCTGATTACTCTCTCTCTCCCAATGTACTGTCCTATCACCACCCCCCCTTATCCCCTTCCTACCTGTTTTCGTGTAGGGTTAGATAGATTTCTATACCCCATTGAGTGTGTCTGTTATTCCTTCCTTAAGTCAAATCCAATGAGAGTAAAGTTCACTCATTCCCCCTTGCCTCTTCCCCTCCACTATAAAAGCTTTTTCTTGCCTCTTTTATGTGAGATAATTTACCCCATTCTACCTCTCCCTCTCTCCTTCTCCTAGTACATTCCTCTCTCACCCCTTAATTTTATTTTTTTAGATGTCATCCTTTCATATTCAACTCACCCTGTGCCCTCTGTCTATATATAGATATTCCCTCTAACTATCCTAATACTGAGAAAGGTCTCATGAGTTACAAATATCATCTTTCCATGTAGGAATGTAAACAGTTCAACTTTAATAAGTCCCTTATGATTTCTCTTTCCTGTTTACCTTTTCATGCTTCTCTTGAGTCTTGTATTTGAAAGTCAAGTTTTCTATTCAGCTCTGGTTTTTTCATTAAGAATGCTTGAAAGTCCTCTATTTCGTTGAATATCCATTTTTTCCTCTGAAGGATTATACTCAGTTTTGCCAGGTAGGTGATTCTTGATTGTAATCCTAGCTCCTTTGACCTCTAGAATATCATATCCCAAGTCCTCTGATCCCTTAATGTAGAAGCTGCTAAATCTTGTGTTATCCTGATTGTGTTTCCACAATCCTTGAATTGTTTCTTTCTGGCTACTTGTAACCCTTTTCCCTTGACCTAGGAACTCTGGAATTTGGCTATAATATTCCTGGGAGTTGTCTTTTGGGGATCTCTTTCAGAAGGTAATCAGTGGATTCTTTCAATTTCTATTTTACCTTCTGGTTCTAGAATATCTGGATAATTTCTTAAAAGATGATGTCCAGATTCTTTATTTTTTATCATGGCTTTCAAGTAGTCCAATAATTTTTAAATTCTCTCTTCTGGATCTATTTTCCAGGTCAGTTGTTTTCACATTGTCTTCTATTTTTTCATTCTTTTGGTTTTGTCTTATAATTTCTTGATTTCTCAGAGTCATTAGCTTCCATTTGCTCCTTTCTAATTTTCAAGGACTTATTTTCTTCAGTGAGTTTTTGGACCTCCTTTTCCATTTGGCCAACTCTGCTTTTTAAGGCATTCTTCTCCTCATTGGCTTTTTGGACCTCTTTTGCCATTTGTTCTAGCCTATTTTTATGGTGTTATTTTCTTCAGTATTTTTTTGGGTCTCCTTTAGTAAGCTGTTGACTTGTTTTTCATGATTTTCTTGCATCACTCTCATTTCTCTTCCCAGTTTTTCCTCTACTTCCCTTACTTGTTTTTCAAAATCCTTTTTGAGCTTTTCCATGGCCTGGGACTGTTTCATATTTTTCTTAGAGGCTTTGGATGTAGGAGCTTTGACCTTGCTGTCTTCTTCTGATTGTATGTTTTGATCTTCCTTGTCACCAAAGTAAGAGTCTATAGTCTGAGGGTTTTTTCCTACTGTTTGCTCATTTTCCCAGCCAATTACTTGACTTTTTAGCTCTTTGTTAAAACTTTTAACTCTTTGTTTGTTTCCAGTGTGGAGGATGTACTGTCCCAAGCTTCAAGGGTTTTGTGCAGCTGTTTTCAGAGATACTTCTAGGGACCTGTAAGTTTTCAGTTCTTCCAAAGTGGTATGATCTAAGGAGAAGTGTTTACTCCTCTCCTCGCCTGTGCTCTGGTCAGTGAGTGACCACAAGCACTCTTTTCTGCCTTGGAACTGTGAGTAGGGTTCCCTCTGCACTGCTGCCACAAGCTCTGGTATACCAGTGCTCCTCCTTGCCCAGGACTGCTACCCAGGACTGTGGCCCAGATCCCAGTATGGGCAAATCAACAGAGTTCTGCCTCAGTGCTAGCAAAGAGACCCCTGTAATCTCCTTCTGATCAGTTATTTAGTCCCCTTACTGTCTGTGAAATGAGACCTCTGGAAACAGGCACTGCAACTGTTGCTGCCTCTGGACTACACTGCGCACCTCCCTCACCCAGGTCTGACAGACCTTTCCTACTGACCTTCTAAGTTGTCTTTGGCATTTGTGGGTTGAGAAGTCTGGAAACTGCCATAGCTGCCAGTGATTCAGTCCTCTGAGGCCTGCTCCAGGTTTGCTGGGGCCCAGTTTGTGGCACAGTGGCCCATGCTAGACTGCGCTCCTGCCCCAGCCTGGCACAACAGACCTTTCCCATTGACCATCCGTGTTGTCTTGGGCTGGAAATTTGTTTCATTCTTTCTTTTTGTGGGTTCTGCTAATCTAGAATTTGCATAGAGTCATTTTTATAGATATTTGGAGGGATTTGGGGGAGAGCTCAAGTGAGTCCTTGCTTTTACTCCATCATCTTGGCTCTACCCTGCTATGCCCAAATCTATTCTTATCCACCTGTTCGCTTATCCACTTATCCACTCTATCCCTGGCTATGAGCTTGTAATTTCTCAAGGTTGAGTCATAGTCTAGAACAGAGGTGGGGAACCTATGGTCTCAAGGCCACATATGACTGTCTAGGTCCTCAAGTGTGGCCATTTGACTGAATCCAAACTTCACAGAACAAATCTCCTTCATAAAAGGATTTGTTCTGTAAAACTTGGACTCGGTCAAAAGGCCATACCTGAGGACCAAGAGGGCCACATGTAGCCTTCAGGCTGCAGGTTCCCCACCTAGAAATCCAAATCCCATCCTCAGCCACCATCTTCTTGACCAGCCATTCTCTTCTTAAGTCTTCTCTTTCCTTCCAAGTCCCTGCCTTCAATGGGTAACAGTAATGAAAACATCACCTGTACCCTCTCCTAGCTTAGGCTTTCCCTTTCTTAGGTCTTGGTTGACCCTGCCTGTTAGCTTCCCCCTAAGTGCTGGCACGATACCCATACCAATCACCAGGAATGGATAGTAAGCATCCCTTTTGCCAGTCACAGGAAGTATTCTTTTTTAAATAATGACTTGGATACATATCCCAGGAACACAACAGACCTCTTTGGGGTTTGCCCAAGGCTAGCTAGGGGCAGTGCAGTGATTAGAGCTCGGGAAGACCTGAGTTCAAATCTAGCTTCTGACACTTACTAGCTGTGTGACCCTGGGCAAGTCATTAACCTCTGCCTGCCTCAGCTTCCTCATTTGTAAAATGGATATCATAACAGCTTCCATTTTATTGGCGAGACAACATGTACGTTAATGGGGGGAGGGGCTCTTTAACCCCTAGGTTAGGTAAGTAACCAATTGCTTGCTGTGCTGTTTCTCTAAGATTCTGACTTTGCCGGGTGTAAGGGACGCATCAATGAAGACAAACTTTCCATAGGCATTGAAGGTGAAGTCAGAGAGGTAGCAGGAGTCTGGGGCCCTGATGCTGCCTTGGAGATGCAAGCTGGGATCTGCTTCAATGATCATTTGTTATAGGCCAAGTTAAAGCTGGGGAGACAGTGTTGATACATGCTGGATCGAGTGGTGTGGGCACAGCTGCTGTTCAGTTGGCCCGCCAGGCTGGAGCCATTCCTCTGGTCACCGCTGGGTCTCTGGACAAAATTAAGGCAGTGGAAAAGCTTGGGGCTGCTGCTGGCTTCAACTACAAGGAAGGAGATTTTTCAGCTGCAACACTAGAGTTTACTAAGGGTAAGAAGCTTCCTTGCCCTTCCAGGGCTACTGAGCAGGAGTTGCAGTTGTGGCCAAAGAGGGGAAGCTGAGGTTCCACAGCCAGGTTAAGGGCTCAGACACTCGTGGCACTATGGTCCCCTGGCCAGGCTTTGATACCCATCCAAAGGTGTTCCCAGGAGCAGCCTCATAGGCCTGAAACCCATCTGAGGGTTCCAACCCCAGGCTGCCAAGGCCTGGAGCTGGTGCTAGCTGGGGGTATGCATGCATGCATGCATGTCTTTTTTCTTGGCTTCTTTCTAAACATTCATCCATCCATCCTCCCACTCCCTCCATAAAAGCTCTTTGAGCAGAGGGAGCATGAGCTTTGGCGAGACTTGGGGCCCTGTCCTGGAGATAGACTCTATGTCTATGGTCCAAGAGCTGGCTGAGGTAAGTTTGGAGTGAAAGGCTGGTCATCAGGTGGGCTGCTGGGACATGTGCCTCTCTGAGGCAAACCACTGAGTCACAGAGTAGCTGGGGACCCTCAGCACTCTCACAGCTTAGTCCCTACTTCCACTAGAAGGTTACTGAGGTGTGGACAGTCCAGGGTCAGCACCATCCCTGCCTTGGGAGCCTCAGCTATTCTGGCCTGGCTGTAGGCTGTCCTCAGCTACTCTGGGGGAAGCATCCACAAAGGCCACCCACGTCAGCTCCTGGAGGCAGATGTCAGGGGCTACAGTCAGGCCAGTGTGGAGAGATGCATGCTGTCTCTTCTGGCTGCTCTCCTGGGCCTTCCAGGGCAGCTGCTGCCGGGGACTGAGTATCCCTTCAGCCCAAGTCAGGATGCCCACCCTGTGCCCCCTCCCCAGGTGCTGGAGCCAACGTGATTCTAGACTGTGTAGGCGGGTCCTACTGGGAGAAGAATGTGGCGTGCCTGGCCCTGGATGGCCGCTGGGTGCTGTACGGCCTGCTGGGGGGGGCAGAGGTCCATGGGGAGCTTCTCTCCAAGCTTCTGACCAAGCGAGGGAGCCTCCTCACAAGCCTGCTGAGATCCCGGGACAAGAAGGCAAGTCCTGGGCAGGGCAGGAGAGAGTCTGGGAGAGGGGGGAGGGCCCCAGTGGTGGCTTTCTGTCCTGAAGGACCAAGGAGGTGACCCTTGGAGCCTGGGACTCAGGGCCTCATGTTCTTCAAGGCCAGCCTGCCACCTGAATCCCTACAGCTACCTGAGACCCTCTTCCTAGAATGAATGCACTTCATAGCCTAGGCATCCCCCAAAGAACCCCACCAGCTCCTCAGCAACCTGTCAGAGCGAAGGGTTGGGGGATCTGTAGGGAGCTGAGCTGCGGGTCAGTGGTGTGTGCTATGGGCCTTGGCGCCCTATAGAGACAGGGGCAGGGGCTCACTGGTGCTCAGTACCATTCAACTTTAACAGTCCGCCCTTACAAAGGTTTGCTCCGCCTCCAGACAATCTCGGGAATGGGGAAAGTGCTGGGCTGTGGTGCCTGCTTATGGTCACCAAGGCATCGGGGACCTGAAGCAACCTGGGCACGGGCCCTCCCTCAGAATGTAAGCCATCCAGTGCCCATCTCATGGGTGACAAAACTGAGGCAGCAGAAGGTGGCAGGAGCCTTCTGGCCTCGAGTCATACCACGCTTTCATGTCTTCCACCCGGTCAGTACAAAGCAGAGCTGGTGGCGGCCTTCACCCAGCAGATCCTGCCTCACTTTGCCCAGGATGAGCCGGGGTCGCTGAGGCCTGTGGTGGACACAGTCTTCCCCCTGAAGCAGGTGGCAGAGGCCCACGTGTATATGGAACAGAATAAGAACTTGGGCAAGATTGTCTTGGAGGTGACGCCAGTGCCCTGAGCACAATAAACCATGCTGGTCCCCCAGCCACCGGCCTGGTGCCTTCTTGCCTCCAAGAGCTTTCCCGGCAGAGAGCTGGGGTGGGGTGGGGGGCTGCTACTGCTGTCTCCGGGAGGGCAAGGCTGGGAAGCATGGGGGGCATGGGCCCCTCCTGTGTGCTTGTGAGGGAGGGGGGAAGCAGGGAGCCCTCCTGTGGGGGGGAGCAGGGGCTCCTCCTGTGCAGCTGTAAGGGGAGGGGGGGGGCAGGGGCCCCTTCTGTGTTATTTTCTGTTGGGCCTGAAAAAGATCCGGGCTCCTGGCCCCAAGGGGCTTCTGTTCCAGTGGGGGCGGGGGCAGGCGGATACAAAGCAATACAAAGTAATCCCTGGGTAAAGGAGGGGGAGGGGGACTGCCCTGGACCCAGCTTCAGGGGCCTCGGGTCTGCCCCTCCCATCCTCTCTCGCAGCCAGGCCCTGGGGCAGGCCTTGGTCACCCAGAGCCGACTGGGGTAGGAGTGGGGAGAGGCCCTGCTCAATAAACTCCAGGGGCTTCCTATGGCCTCCAGGAGCCCTTCCTCACCCAGCCCCGCTTCCCATCTTTTTTTCTGGTCGTCTTACGCCGAACGTTCTTTCTGCACCCCCGCCCCGCCCAGCCCACACATTTGCCACTCTCCAGACTCCGCGCTTTTGCACACTGCCCACAGTGACCTCAGACTCTCCATCCGCCCCTAAAGAACCCTCCCACCGCCTGGCGTACCCAGGAGGAGCTGGGAGGGGCGGGCGGGGCGGGGCGGAGTCTGAGGGAGGAACTCCGGGAGTTGGGGGCGGGGCGCAGCCGCTTCTCTTCGGCGCATGCGGAGAGGTGGGACTTCCGGCGACCTTGTGCTTCCGGAGGCCGGGCGGAAACCGGAAGTTCCCTTATATCTCGGCGCGTACGCCGCAAGGAGGCCCAGGAGCAGGAGGAGGAGGAAGAAGCAGAAGGAGCGGAAGCCGCATCGAGCGGGCCTTTATTGCGGTCCCGACGGACCCCCACCCAGCCCCGGCCCGAGCCCCCCTCCGCCGCCGCCATGGCGATGCAAGCGGCCAAACGCGCGAACGTGAGAGCGCCCCGCCCCCACCCCATCTCCGCCCCAAACTCTGCACCCATTGAGCACTTACTGTGTACCTTTCTGCCCTCCTAGATCCGGCTCCCGCCCGAGGTGAACCGCATCCTCTACATCCGCAACCTGCCCTACAAGATCACAGCCGAGGAGATGTACGACATCTTCGGCAAGTACGGGCCCATCCGCCAGATCCGTGTGTAAGTGTCTGCCTCTTGGATGGCTGCGGGATGGGGAGCTCACTACCAGGCCGGTGGGGGGACGCTGCTCCCCTTCCCCCTTAGATCCTTCCAGCCCCTGGGAGCTCACTACTGCTCTGCTCCTTCCCCCCGCAGCGGGAACACCCCGGAAACCCGCGGCACGGCCTACGTGGTCTATGAGGACATCTTTGACGCCAAGAACGCTTGTGACCACCTGTCGGGCTTCAACGTGTGCAACCGCTACCTGGTGGTGCTCTACTACAACGCCAACCGGGTGCGGCCCAGCGCGGGGGTGGGGGGCAGCTGTGTTCGAGGGGGAGGGGGCCCCACTGTGCTCCTGGGGGCGTCACATCTGTGATGGCGGGGGGGGGGGGGGGGGGGGGCACAGGGATGCTCACACTCCCCTGTCTCCTTCCAGGCTTTCCAGAAGATGGACACGAAGAAGAAGGAAGAGCAGCTGAAGTTGCTGAAGGAGAAATACGGCATCAACACGGACCCGCCCAAGTGAGGGGCCCCTAGGCTGTTTTCATCATGAACTTGACCCCTGACTTGGTCAGCACTGGACCCCAGAGGGCTTCGTCCATCCTGGCCCGTGCAGAACCTGTCATCAGCACTCCCAGGGCTTTTCCCAGAGTTGCTCATTGTGCCCAGGCCGAGGGCATCACACCCTCTGCAGAACAAGAGTTGGCAAATAAAGGTGCTGGGCTTGGGTCTGGAGTAAAATGCCATAACATGTCGCCTCCATCACCGTCACCCTGCCCTGGGACTTCTCTTTTCCCTCTGGACCAGACTGGAAGCCGGGAAGACCTGACCTCAGCCACCTGCTCCAGGCAGCAGGAGCCTGGGGAGATGGACTGGGCTAGGACTCCCACTTCTATTGTGATGTCCTGGGCACATTCCAGATTCAGTTCCTAATTTTTCCCCCACTTCCCCCCCCCCGAAGTATCTAGGGCAACACAGGGCACCGGGTCCTGGGCCTGGATTCATGAAGACCTGAGTTCAAATCCAGCCTCAGACATTTGTTGTGGGAACTTGGGCAACTCGAGGAACCTCTGCCTCATTTTCCTTCTCTGTAAAATGGGGACAGTAACAGTGCTTACCCCGAAGGCTGAGGTGAGGATCAGCCCCTTGTCTGGATCCTGCATTGTCTTCCCAAACCCTCACCCTGCCTGGCAAGCAGTAAGTGGCTAAGAAATGCTCATTAGTCAGTAGAGGGCTAGTCCTTTGAGGCCCCTTTTTGCTGAATCCTGATGCTGGCTTACACAGGGCTGGTCAGTCCTTTCTCCATAAAACCCTGTCACAGGAGACGGGATCTTCCAACGGGTTTCTCGCCCCACAGTCTCCACTTCACAGGCATTTGTTAAAATTTGGGTAGGGGAGCCCATGTAGCAGGAGGAGGACAGGATTCCTGGAAGAGAAGCCCGCCTGCGCGCCCCCCCCCCAGTGGATGAGGAAGGGCAGAGGAAGGGGTACCTGGAAGCTGGGAGACTCCCCCCACCCCATGTGGGCTGTTGGCATGGTCCAGGCCAGAGGCTGAGAGACACTCATTGTGTAGAACCCTGGTTTCCAGGTTGTCTGCTTTTTAAGTGTCTTTGACAGTGGTATCTCAGCAGCCACAGGGCAGCTAGGCTGCTCCTTCAGAAGGGCCAGCAGGGATCATCTGGGGCCTGGAAAGGATGGGAAACGTTTGGGCCATCAGCTGAGCTTTGGGCTCTAAGAATTCTAGAGAACCTAAAGGATGAAATAGTGGGACTTGGGAGTGTTGGGAGAATGTTGGTGGGGTGTGGTTCTGCTCCCTCCACCTCTGTCCTCTTCTGTCCTCCCATTCAGAATCACCTTTCCTTGGCTGTTCCCTCCCATTCTCCGTCCACTCCCTCCTCAGAAATGGCCCCAATCGCCTGCTGGATCCAGTGGTTCTTCCTTAGTCTTCAAGGCACTGCCCTCCTTCCATCAGCTCTGATCCCTCTACTTCCTCTTCATGGCCTCAGGGCTGTAGAAGGGACTTTTGTATGTGTGAGTTTCTGCCTCTGCCCCTGCCTCTCCCTCTCAAGGAGGGCACTTAATGGTGTGCCTGACAATGTAGGTGCTTAATAAATGTTTGACTGACTGATTTTCCAGCTTGTTCTTAAAACCGGGATGCCCAGAACTGAAGACAGTCCTCTAGATAGAGTCTGCCCAGGGCAGAGAGAGAGGACAGAGGGACTACCCTGCCCTGCCCCCCTGGTCCTGGAAGCGCCTCTCCAAAGATGCCTTTCAATTTCTCAGCTGGCTCATCTGAAGATCTTTGTCCACCTGTCCATCTGATCAAGCCAAGGCTTGAATTATCTGTATATCCCTCCCTAATCTCTCTTCCTTTTGTCCAGCCATGCACAGACTGCCTGCCCCCAATCATCTCCGTCCCACCCCAGCTCCAGGCTTTGTCTCCTTTCCTGTAGTTTTATATGTTGCAATGTTAGTCTAGGCTTGAAATGTTAAGGTCCGAAGGCTTGAGCCTTTTCCCTACTGAACGTGCCTAACACTTAGCCTAGAAACCAGAATCACAGAAGGTGAAGGGGGTCTGGTCCCCCTTTTCTCGTCCAAGGAGAAAATTCCCCCACATCTTTAGTAGGGGATGAGGCATGATGGAGATGCCTTGTTAGGGGCTGCAGGGCCACGGCTCACTCCCAAGTTTTCTACAAGAAGACAGAAGGGTTCCCCACTGGCCAAGGACTTCGGGTCCAGGTACTTTGTCTCTGTATCCCCAGTAGCCAGGGGAGGTTGAATGAGCCCCAGTCGCCATCTGCCCGACCTCTAATATCATCGTCTCAGTTACTCCCCCATTGCTCCTGGCTCTGCCCAAGTGAGGACCACGATGACAGAACCGATCTGACCCTTTCCCAGGTCCACCACCAGCCCTAGCCGTCCCTTATCGGAATTTGAACGGGATCGTCCACGAACACCTCAAACTCGGCAGTAAACCCAGTGGTGCTCCTTATCGCCCCCAACCTTCCCCTCGGGCTCACCTCGCCTACTCCTGATGCTGCCCCCGCTGCTGGGGTGGGGGGGATGCCTGCCTCCAGTCCCCTCCACCGGCAGCCCCCCCCGCCCCACTCCTGAGTCCAGTCTCCTCGGTGCTCATCCTCACTGCCCCCTCCACAATCCGTCTACACTGGACCGTAGACCCCTCCGCCCCTTTTCCTGGTGCTCCCAGCGCTTTGCGAAACGCCTGAGGTAAACGCAGGGACAATCGTAGGGCCAACTGCGCCGCTTCGCGGACGCCCAGAATGCGGGAACAAGCCTTTATTAAGCGCCACTTGTGTGGCTGGCCTGAGCACCGGGGCCTCAGGCCAACAGCTGCACGCGGACCGGCCGAAGGCGCCCCGCCCCACCCTTCCTTCCCTGGCTGGGAAGCGAGGGTCCCGCATGGCCCGCCGCGACCTCCGCCCCCCAGGGCCTCATTCCTCCCGACCCGGCCTCGGGCCCAGAGGAGAATCAACCGTCCGGACTACGCGTGCGCCGGGAGAAGCGTCGAGGTACGAAACGCGGCCCTCCGCGCGCCGTCCATGCGTCACTTCCGGGCGCGACTCCAGGAAGCGGAAGTGGCCGCCGCGGACAGCGGCGTGGGCGCGAGGCTTAGGTTCGAGATCTCCCGGAGTCGGAGGTTCCTCCCCTGCCCCGCCAAGCTCGGGACCGACGCGGGAGGCGCGCAGAGAGACCTGGGAGTTCGAGGAGCGCCGTCCGGTGAGTGAGGCGGTGGCGGCGTCTGGGCCACTTCCGGGTCGGGTGCTTTGCGTTATTTCCGGCGCGGGGGGGCGGAGCCTCTAGGAGGGCTTGCGCGGAGGCGCCGGCTGAGTAGGAGGATGCGGTTTGGAATGCCGGGGTTGGCCCAGGGCTTTGTGGGCCCTGGGGAGTCTCAAGGTGACCGAGGATCTAGGACCGAGCGGCCCCTTGTGTCGTCAGACCCTGAGAGAGGCGGCAGCATCGGGCCTCTGTTTGGATTCCCCCAGTGACAGGGAGCTCTTTATCTTAGAAGGGCCGAAGCTGCCCCGGGACGAGACCTCCCCTGGGTTTGGGGTCAGAACCCCCCAGCCCCTGTCTTGTAAACTGAGGTCTGGACGGAAGTAACCTCGGGATTGTGGGCAGGGCGCCGCCCTTCGGCCTCAGTTCTCCCTTCTGTAAAGCACCTACATTGTCAGGCACACCATTAAGTGCCCTCCTTGAGAGCTCGATGGGCTCTGAAGGGTCTAAGAAGCTTAGGCTGGTCAGTCCACAGACATTTATTAAGCGCCTACACTGTGCTAGGCTCTGTCAGTCCCTTCCTTTCTGCCCCAAGTTAGGCTGCGCCTGTGAACAGGTCCTACGGCCCAGCCTCCTTCCTGGAAGCCAGTGAGTCCTGACCTGGGGTCTAAGTCGGCTTTCTTTCTTATCTGGATTTCTGTGTTTCGCTGACTGGTTTCCTTTTTTTTGGCTACGCAATAGGGTTAAGTGACTTGCTCAGGGTCACACAGCTAGTAAGTGACAAGTGTCTGAGGACGGATTTGAACTCAGGTCCTCCTGACTCCAGGCGGGTGCTCCACCTACTGTGCCATCTAGCTGCCCCGACACTGATTGGTCACACTCTGCTACCGAGGAGGGATCTTCTGGCTGCCCAAGGGGAACCCCTGAGCCTGTACTCCAGAAAGGATGTAGGCCAGCCCCCCAGGCCACCCCCCTTTCAGCCCCAAGCAAGGATTTTGTCTTGGTCCCCATCAATCAGGACCCCCACCCCCAAGCATTGAGCCTCCATCCCTAACAAGTTTCCGCTCTGGATGACCAGATGACACCCAATTCCATCCATCCTCTGCTAACACACTGTCCAGAACAGGAAAGAGTTTTCTGGAGTATGTTTACAAGGGAAAAAAGAAGGTGCAGCCTCAGATAATGCACCCAGATGCCCAGTGCCCCAGGTGATGACGGCTGAGTAGAGCCTCTGCCCAGAAATCACAAGCCTGGACACAAGTGGCCCTCTGGCCACTTGGCTGGCCCTTAGCTGGTCCATTCTCCAATTTGAGGTTCATTTGGGGAAGTTGTGATCCTCCTGCTCGCCCTGTGTGACTTCCACTAACCAACTACTTCCCTCCATCTCCGAGGGGTCTTTCTGGCCCAGAAATCAATGGTTCCATGTCATATAGACTCCCACATTCACAAAAGGCTGTACCTAGATTCTAGGCCAAAGACGTGAGTTTGAATCTCTGGGGGTCTTTCATCATTTAAATAGCGTATCAAAGGTCAGTGTAGGTCCAGAATAAAACAGAGGAGAGACAATAGGTGAAGGGGCCTTGGGGAAGCTTTGGGACCCACTGCTGCGTCTCCAGTTTTTGGAAAATGATAAGGGAGTGGCTCACAGTAGATGTGAGAAAGCCGGAGCCTCTAATCCACAAGAGGCACTTTGGAGGCCAAGATGTTATCAGGGAAGTGGAGGAGGGCTGGTCCTGTGTGGAGGGAGGACCTTCTAGGGCAAACTTGGGGGTGGCACAGGGGCAATTGGATAAGCACATACAGAATGCCTACTATATGCCAGGCACTGGACGAAGCTTTTCACAAATGTGATCTCATTTCATCCCACAACAAACCTGTAAGGGAAGTCCTGTTTTCCTCATTTTACAGTTGAGGAAACTGAGGCAGGCAGCAGTGGAGTGACTTGCTCAGGGTCACAGGGTTTGAACTCCAGGCCTAGCACTGTGTTCCTTCTGGCGCCCCCTGGTGGCCTGATGTAAGCCTCACTGGATTGGTTGGGGGGGGCGGAGGGGCTTTGATGGGTATTATCACAGGTGTGTTGTCGTATTGTAAGGTTTTTCAAAGCACCGAACATCCCTCATCTTTCATTTGTCTGGTGCAGGTGTTATTTATAGTTAAGAAAATTGAGACCCAAGAGGTTAAGGGCCATGCTCAGGGTCCCACAGGGTCCCAGGCTCTCCGCCCCAACCACAGAGCTTCCCTGCCAGCCCGAAGGCCTGTGAACCTGGGAATGAGAGATCAGCCCCTCCTCGTGTGGGTGGCCAGTCCTTGCTTGCCTGGGTGGTCCTGGGTCCGACCATGTCACCCCCTACTCAATAAATTCCGTCAGCTCCATGTGGCTTCCAGGATCCTATGCAGAGTGCTCTCACTGGCCCTGGAAGACGTTCGTGACCTCCCCCACCTTGGATCCTGTGACCCTGGCCCCCTGGCTGTTCCAAGAACAAGCCCCTCTATTTCTCAGGTCCAGGCATTGTCTCTGGCTATGTCCCAGGGCTGGAACACTCTCCCTCCTCTGCTCAGACCGACTGGCCTCCCCAGCGTCCTCCAAGTCCCCGCTAGATCCCACCTTCTACAGGAAGCTCTCCCCAAGTCGTCCTCATCATAGTGCCTTCCTTCTGTTCATTATTTCTTGTTTATCCTGAATTTGTTTGTACCTGGTTGTATGGAACGTCTTACCTTAGACTGCCATTTGCACAGGGCCTAGCACATAGTAGGTGCTTAATATTTACTGACGGACTGCCTGACTGGATCCCCAGGCTCACACGTCTTGAGGTGCCTCACTGTGCTTCTTCAGGTGAGGCGAGGGCTCCATCCTGTGGAGTGAGTGTGATCACCAGCCTTCTACCTCTTTTGCTCTGGGGTCTTCAGGAACCTGTGGAGTCCTTCATTAGGCAAAGGACAATCCAGGCTACTGGAGGGGGGCTCCCTTCTTTTTCAGCCTCATTTGAGACATACAAATCAGCCTTGAAAAGGGTGAGACAACAGGTGGCCGGGGGTAGATTTGTCTCCCCCCCCCCCGCCTTGTCTGTGGCTGTCAGCGTGGATTCTGGGGGCCTGACCTCCCCCTCCCCCTCCCCTGCCCTCCTGAGCCACGAGAGGCTGAGGCTGAGATGCCGAAGACTGGGCTTGGACTAAGCCTTTATTTTGCATATGTCTTTCAAAGGGACTGTTCAGATTAGCAGCAAGGACCAGGCAGTATCGCTGGTGGGTAGGTGGGCTTGCAGGCCTGGCTTGTGCACATCTCTGAGTACTAGTGACTCCTGGGGTCAGTGGACAGTAAGGCAGTGCAGACTTTTTGCTTTATAAATAAAAAGTTCACACGCGCGCACACGTATGTGTAGTGGCAAGGTGGGGTGGGGGTGATCTCGAATGCTATCACATGCAAGTTAAAGTAAATGTCCAGTTTGGGAATGTTCCCGATGGGTGTTTCCTCAAAGCCAAGAAGCTTGTCAGCACAGAACTGGACATACGCACGCATACATACACACAACAATAATGAAGGCAGGCATCACTGGTGTGAGCGCTTGGAATGGGAAGCACTGGGGACTGGGGACCCTCCCGGGAAAGAAGGGAGATGGCGCATGAGCGGCAGCTGCGGTGGTGGTGGTGGCGGCAGCTGGCCTCAGCCGGCGCGCCTGAGCGCTCACTCTAACCTGAGCAGCTCCACGTCAAAGATGAGGGTGGCGTTGGCAGGGATGACTCCAGGGTGCCCCGTGGCTCCATATGCCACGTCGGGGGTGCAGGTCAGCTTCGCCCTCTGACCCAGGCTCATCTGACAGGTGTGAGGGCAGAGAGGAAGAGGAGAAAGCCCCAGGTTGGGAGGAGAGACAACCGAAGGGTGTGTGTGAGAGAGAGACAGAGAGAGAGGCTCCCAGAGAACATCTAAGTGCCCTTTTTTCCATATTTATGAAGTTCTTCCCCCCACAGGACAGTGACTAGCTTACTTCAGGAGGGGAGAGTGAGTGGGAGCTGCAGCTGCCCCTACACCAGGGCGCACGCCAATCAGTGCCTGCCCTGTATTCCCCGGTGGCTGCTGGCCATGCCAGCTCACCTCCCCTGCTCTTTCCTCCAGGACGGCTGCTGGCTGATCTCTCAGGTAGAGCTGGGGAAAAGCCCCAAAGACATGGCATGGGGACAGGGGTCTTGGGAGCCCCAGGTCCTACAGGAGGAAGGTCATCACTGCACTTCTAAACAACGGGGTAAGGAGCAGGTAGCAGTTACGAGGCTGCCTTACCTGGGCGGTGCCTTCTTCAAAGCCCTTGATCACTTCTTGCCTGCCAATTTTGAACCTGAAAGGCTTGTTTCTGTCTCTGGAGGAATCAAATTTCTTCCCATTCTGGAGCATTCCTGCCAAGACATCAGATTAGTATCACCCTGGGTCTGAGGGAAAGATGGAAGCCCTCCCCTTCCTCCACTGTCCTCTCTCTTCTTTCTCCTTGGTGGAGGAAGTGCTGGCCACTTCCAGGGCCAGAACCCTCGGGGTAGATCAGAGGGTTCCCCAGGCTAGACCCTTTACTCTAAAGTACACAGAGTTAGCTCCTGCAGCCTGGATTTGAACTGCTGTGGTGAATAACTCATGGTTCTATCCAGTAGCCCAGAGGCTTTCGGACACTGAGGCTACATATCCTGACTAACTCCTGGGTGTTAGTTAATGATAGAGAAATGGAAAAGGGATGACCCATCAGGAAGCATTTATTAAGCAAATGCTGTGTACTAGGCACTGAAAAGCAGGAGGTCTGTTTCCCCATAGGCCAACACCCATCCATGGCTGCGGGGAGACATGTTTCATACTGGCGGCACCTCCCAGCTCCTTCCAGGCTCCTGAGCCAGGATGCCACAGCACTGGCCCGTGATGGGGGAGGACTCTTCCCTCATACTATGTGAGGAGACCCGGAGAGCACAACTGTAATCCTGGTGAGGTGCTCTCTGTCCCAGGAAGTTTGGCCTTATGTAGACGTGGAGTGTGTGAGGGGAGTGTGTGAGGGCTCCCAATGTGGAGCCCTGTAATCGTGGCACTGACTTTGCCTTTCATGATTACTGGTTTCTGAGCAGGACACGTGCCTGGATGCTAGGCCTGAAGAGCCACCTCGTCAGTCTTCCCCAGGGCCAGTCATCTGCCAGACTAGCTGGGAGGCTCCAGATGTGACCCTTCATCACCTGTCTCCCATCATACTTTCCTAGTCACGTGTTGGCCTACCAATCCCCCTTCCTGGCTAAATAGTGCGACTGAACAAACACCTACTATGTGCCAGGCACCATGCTCGGTGCTGGGGAGATGAATAAAGATGAGGCAGATGGCACCTGCCTTCAAGAAGAGCCCAGGTGGTACAGAAGAGGAGCCAGGGATGACCTTTTCCTCTCTGGCGTTGTGCCTTTGCCAAGGCTCTCATCCGCTGTGTCATCTGACTTCTGCTCCTTGGAATCCCACACATGGCCTGTTCTTTCCATTCTTCGCATCGATCTAATACACATTTCTCTGCGTGGCAAGTACCCCAGCAGAATGTAAGGCCCTTCCAAGGAACGACTGGTCTTTATTTTGCCCTGCCTAACAGGGAGAGGGCAGAGAGTGTGGACATCTCTTCAACATCTCCTCCCTGCAGGCCCTATGCTAGTGGGTGAAGGCGGAGGAGGGGCAGATGTCATGCCCTTCTCCGTGAGCCTCCTCTGATGCCTGTCCCCTCCAAGGCTCTCCGTGGAGAACTGGTGGTTGTCTGTGCAGAAAGGCTGTAAGGAAGGGGTGGCCTTCTTCCCAACCCAGGGACAGTGGGGACAAGGGGGCCCTCGGGCACAGAGTCCCAGAGCTCCCACTGACTAACGGGATGCCTGACCAGAAGACCCGAGCCTCATCCGTCCCTTTATGTCCATAGGGCCTGGCACATAGCAACGGCTCACTGCGTGCTTTCATGCAGTCAGCATCCTCATCGTGAGTGAGACCAAGGAGGGCACAGGTGAATAAGCAATGACTCGAGTCAGCGGACATTGTGTCTTAGGAGCTGTGGGCGTCTGCAGTGGCTGTGTGCATTGTGGACATCAGCACGTGGATCTGAGGCTCAACATCTGCCACAGGGGTGGAAAAGTAGGGAACTGTCCAAAGAGCTCGACCTGCTTTTTGAACTCTGCATGCACGCATCTGGAGATGCTCCTGATTCTCGGTGACTTTAGTGGGAGAACAGGCAAAAGTAGTCTGAAAGTGGTTCATGGTGAAGGGAATCAAAGGGGCCTGAGGCTCGTGGATCCTCCTGCCCGGATCTTATGAATGCTTTTTCAAGAAGAGAGTGTGAAGCCCTTGTACACAGGGAATTCTGAACACCACAAAACATTAAATTGGCTTTTTTTCTGAACAGACAGGAAGTAAAGGGGCTACCAGACAACAGTTTGTCTGAAAAGGACCTGTGGGTCTGCATGGATGCCAGCTCAGTTAGCAGTGTGAGTTGGTAGCCAAAAACCGAATGCCATCCTTAGCTACCATAAGAGATGGATGGTGTTGAGCACTGGAGAGGGAACGAGCTGGGTGACTGCCCTGGGAGGGCCGGACCCCACCTGGAGCACTGAGTGTAGTTCTGGGCACGGAGGGTGAAGAAGAGCACCGATAAGCAGGGCACTGACTGCAGGAGGGTGACCGTGTCACAGAATTAGCTGAAGGATCTGGAGACAAGCACAGGAAACAGGGTCATCCCGGCTGTCTTTAAAGGGGAATCTCACCTGTTCTTCCTGATCTCCGCCTAGGCCCACAAGGCGGGAAGACTGTCCCAGGGGGAGCTGTGCCACAGGCCCCCTTCCCATGGCTGGCAGCCTCCTCAAAGGCAGGACAGTTTGTGCTAGGCACTCCCTTGTTGAGGTATTGGATGGCTGCCATGGTAGCTGCCTGATGGGACATAATGTCAAAGCCTGATATTTGTGTTCAGTTGAGTAGTTAAGATGCAGATCTAAGCACCAAATGGAGAAAGAATGAAAACTAAAAATGAAAAGGCCGCTGAGCAATTGTGCCAGCATCAACTAGCCACCGACCTGGAGCACGAGCATGATTTTAAAGTCAATGATTCCATGAGATAAAAGAGGCCAGGGATGATAGTATCACCCCACAGAGTGACTTAGAAGAGACCTGCACTTGCAGACCTCTTTGGCCTTCTCTCTTCAGAATGCCCATGAAGGTGTCTGCACATGTCTTCAGGGCATTCTGGATGCAGTAATGAGATGGGAATAGGCAGACAGATGCAGACTGTTTTTCTTGCTGCTTCACACCTTTGGGGTCCTACCCGTGACTGAAAAGTGGGGAATACAAAGTGCTGTTGTAGCTGTGGGTCACTAGTTGCTCAAAAATCACTTGATTTGGAACCTGGAAGATGTCTCCCTTGCATGTATTTGCAGCAGAAAAAATTCCTGCAGAGGGTATTAGGTTGCTGGCCCCTATTGGGTTCTTGCCCTCACCAGGTTCTCTGGGCCCTTGGGTTTTGGTCCCATCATACTGTGCCTTGTAGGCACCATATTCCTCTGCTCTGTGCAGGCTGGAAGCCCCTCAAATGCAGGCCCTGGATAGAGCACTGGCCCTGGAGTCAGGAGGACCCAAGTTCAAATCTGTTCTCAGACACTTAACACTTACTAGCTGTGTGACTTTGGGCAAGTCACTTAGCCCTATTGCCTAGCCAAAATACAAAAGGCACTGGTTCATTTCCCTGCCTCCTCAGGGCTGCTCCCAGAGCCTGGTTTTAGTTTAAGTTGAAACTTCTTTGAGGTCAACCTAAAAGTTACACACAAGTGTCATCCCAAGTATAAGCCCCTGCTTTGGAGTGGTTTTTATCTGCTCTGTATTGAGAGGGATGTTCTGCTCTTGCTGTCAAAGCCCAGTGATCCAGGATCTGGAGAATAGGGGAGAGGAGACATGAGTTGTAGGCCTTCTTTGCGAGATGCCGGGTCTCCAGATACAGCTTTCCTTACTCCCTCATCAGAGGCCTTCTGCCCTCTTTGCCCAAGTCCCTGCTGGTACCTTCTGCTGGGGACAAGACCAAGAGCTGCCAATGACAGCTTTAGAGTCAGAAGGCCCCCTTTCCTTGGTCACCTCCTAAGGAGCAGTCCTCTACCTTTAGAGACCCTAGGCCCAGGCCCATGGTGACAGGCTTGCCAGAGGCCCTGAGGCTGGGGCTCAGAGCAAAAGCTTTTGCCTGCTCATCTGACATACTTGTGGGCCCGATCATTTCTGAGGCCTGAGGAGTCATCTGAGTGATAAACACTGGCCTTCCAGGGCATGGCCCTCTGGCCCACTGGGCAGTAGGAGGCTGGAGGATAGAGCATGGCCTACAGAACAGCTTTTCACTGTCTTTACAGTGTAGTGCACTTACACTGTGGGTGTCCAGAGGCTAACTTCCTAAGGACGAGGCTGCTCGTACCCTTGGACTAGCCATCCTAGCCCTAAGGAGGTTAATGTTGGGAAGAAGGCCCCATGGACCCCAAGACGTTCAGAGCAGCTCTTGGGGGAGGCAGCCAAACCCTGAAAGTCAGATGGGTGCCCATAGGCAGGGGCATAGCCATGGGAAATGAAAAGCATAAGGGAATCTGGGAAACATTTAGGAAGTGATGTGGAATGCCCCCAGCAGAGCCAGGGGAACTTAGCTACCACCAAAATGCAAAGGAGGGCACCAAACACTGGCCCAAAATAGAAGAACAAACTCTGCCCACAGCAGCTCTTTCTCCCTCAGTTTCCTCCACTGTGAAGTGGGGGGGTCGTTGTGAAGGTCCAGTGCACATAGTAGGTGCTTCCTACCTGCTCATGGCTTCCCCTTGGCACCATCAGAGAAGGTCAGCTTGTTGAGGCATTTTACAGAGCTGTCTACACTTACTGCCTTGCTTTTTTCTCACTCTTCTTTAAGACCTTGACAGTCTGGCTGCAGCCTCATTGCACAGAAACTGTTCTCTCCACACTTGCCAAATCCAGTGGCCTTTTCTCAGTCCTCAGTCTCCCTGACCTCTCTCCAACTTTGACACTGGTAGTCACTCTCTCCTCCTTCGTCCTTTCTCTTAAGTTTTCAGAACACATCTTCTCTCCTGATTCTTCTACCTGGCCAGCTCGTCTTTCTCTGTCTCCTTTGCTGGGTCCTCTTCCAGGTCATGGCCACTAACCATGAGTGTTTCCCAAGGTTCTGCTCTTCTCTGCACATTCTGTCAGTGACCTTATCAGCTCCTACGGACTCAGTCTCTATGAATACTTCCAGCTCTAGGGGGTCTTCTGAGCTCTAGCCCCATGTCACCAACTGTCTGTGAGCCATTTCAAACTGGAAGTCTCAGGGACATCTCAAATTCAGCCTGTCCAAAAATGAACTCATCCTATTTTTCCCAAAATCCATCTGATCTGAGGCAGGATTAGGGACAGGAAGAGATCAAGAAATGTCTGTGATTTTTAAAAAAAATCCTACAGAAGTTGGGGCAGCTAGGTGGCGCAGTGGATAGAGCACCAGCCCTGAAGTCAGGAGGACCTGAGTTCAAATCCAACCTCAGACCCAACACTTGACACTTACTAGCTGTGTGACCTTGGGCAAGTCACTTAACCCCAATTGCCTAAAAGCAAAAAAAAAAAATCCTACAGAAGTCAGCCATAAAAAAAAAAAACAACGGAATGTCTGGTACCTGTTGCCCTTAAATGAGCTGGCCATGGGCTCAGAACTTTCCCTAAGTGTCCCAAGGCTCAGTACCTGCTTTTCTGGCTATGGAAGCCCAAGTTCTGTAGCTAGGAAGAGAGAGGGATCCAGGCAAGAGCTCTGGATTGGGGTTTGGACCTGGGTTCAAATGCAGCACTCTGTGCAATGGTGGGGGTATTTCACTAGATGGCCTCCAAAGTCCCTTCTGTCCCGGGACTGTGACCCTATGGTGGGAGACAGGGAAGGGGTCCAGGAGACAGTACCTGAGCCCTCCTCACTGTGAGGCCATCAGGCAAAGCCTGTTGGTAGAGCCCTCTCCCAGTTGTGACAGCTGTGACCCAGCTCATCATGCACCCAGAGGTCCACCTACCTGTGTAGTGCACCACACAGGTCTGGCCCTTCTTGGGAAATGTCCTTCCTGTGGGGGAGACAAAGATATGAGCCTCAGTCTGGGCTGGGCATCAGGGTCACTAGAGCTAGGTCACTAGATGGACACAGGGGACCTGTTAGTGAGCTACAACCCTCTTCTCTGTGGATCAGTGGGATGAGATGGGTGTGTGTGGGGGAGGGGAATCTACATCCTGGATGTCGTGGTTGGGTGCATGGGGGGCATTCTGAACTTTGGCCATGGGGCCCTCTAAAGCTGGAGGAGGAGGCTGTTTTGGAGCCTTGACCTGTAGCAAGGCCAGGTCTGCCCAGCCTCCCAGGGCATCTTCCTTCTCTTCTTCCTCCTCCCTCCCTTCTCCTGATCCTCTCCTCCTCTTCTTTCTCTCGCTCCCCACCCCTCTTCCTCTCCATTCCCCTCCTCTACCTTTTCCTTCTCTTCCTCTCGCCTCCTCCCCCTACCCCTTCTCCCAGTCCTCTTTCCCTCCTCCTGATCCCTCTCCTTCCTTACCCCTTCTCCTGGTCCTCCTCCTTCCTCTCATCCTCTGGCTCCTCTTCCTCCTGGTAATCCTCCTCCTCTCTTCTCCCTCTTTCCTCCCACCCTTCTGGTCGCCCTCCTCCCCTCCTTCTCTCTCTTCCTCCCCTCCTCCCATTCTCCCCCAGTGCCCCAGACGCACCATCTCCTGGGGAGATGGTCTCGATCTCCACGCCCATCGCGACCCCGTCCCCCCGGGCCCCAGGGTCGCCACCAGTCGCCGTCTCTGCCTCTGCCGCCGCCACCGCAGCTGCTGCCGGCCGGCCTCCGGGACTCCGCCCCGGCCAGCCAGCCCGTGGCCAATGCGGCGATTCCCTCCGCCCCTGGAGCCCGGGAAGGCGGGGCTGGCGCTCCCTCCCCCCACCTCCTCCTCCTCAACCCCCGCCGTGGGGGGGGGGGCACATCATAGCCCGGGGGGAGCAAGTATGCACTGCCTGGCCAGGGGGGCCAGAGCAGACGTGCCACATGTGGCTGGCGGGCCCTCCAGCTTCGAGCCCCCCGCAGCCTGGCGGCGACGCCGACTTGGGGCAGACTCTGTGGGAGCCTGCACCACCCCCACCCCCCCCCATGCCTTTCTTCACTGTCCCTGGGACCAAGCCTCAGCCCCTCCGAGTTCAGGATCGGTCTGACCTCTCAGAAGAGGTCTTGCTGAGAGAAAAGTGCTTTGTCAACCTCAAGGCGCTACCCAAGTGGACCAGGCCATTCTTTGCTCTATTTCTTGTCAAGGCATCATAATCCTGAGCTGCTGTGTGAGAACTGGGGTCTCCAAACCAGCACCCAGGATGTGCTCTAAAGCATAGAATGGGAAAGAGGATCACAATCTTGACTCAGAGGCTGGCAGGGAGCCGGTTTCCCCAGCCCCACACTGTGCCATGCCCAAGCTCTCCTGGGTGGCTGCAGAGGCTTTCTCACTGATTCTATTAAAGGAAACATCCTCACAGGATCGTAGTAATCTCCCAGATAAGCCTCGTAGCAGCAGCCCTAGGTGGGTCACAAGATCGTCCTTGAGGCAGGCCCCAGCGCCCAGCCCCCTTGACTGTCTGTCCCTGGAGCTGGGAGGGAGCCTCATGGTCACCCAATTTACCCTGCTCTGTAGATGAGGGACCTGGGGTCCAGGAGCACTAGTCCCACCTCTCTCAGGTCAGTGTGTCAGAGTTAGGGTTCACACCCAGCGTCCCTTCTGTCTCTCCAAGTTGGCTTTGACGCATTTTGTGGTTTTAAAGAATGAAATGCAGATTATTTGTGTAATACTAGTTGCAAACCTTGGTGTCTGACGCTGGGGCTACCAAAAAGACGTGAGTCACAAGCCTTGCTGTCCAGGGAAATGGGCAGAAAGTATGTACTCCAGAGGGGAATTTGGCAAAGTGGGAGAGGGGTGTGATCCCTGTCATCTGGGGGAGTCAGGGGAGGTTTCATGGAGGAGGCAGCACTTGACTGGAGTGGGAAGGACTGGCTGCAGAGATAGGATCTGGGGAGGGGGTGGAGAACAGAGAAGAGAGAGACTCCTCTTTTTGCTGGGAGAGAAGACTAGCTAGACTGTGGAAGGTTTTGGGTGCCAGGCTGAGCCAGTTATTAAGTAGGGAGGGAGCAACTGAAATCTGAGCTGAGGACATCAAGGACCGGGGCAAGACAATCAGAAGGGCCCTGAATGTGGAAGGATGAGGACCTTTCTCAGGCCTGTGGCCATGCTCAGCAGGACAGACGCTCAAGAAGCATTTCTGTTACACACCCCGACATGTACACTCATGTGCTCACACATACACAAGCACACATGCATGCACATATGACTCCCGCTAGCCCCAGAAAGCCTGGGCTATTCCCTCACTGGTCCCACTAAGGGGCCCCTCTGCTCTGGACCGTTGCAGGACCTGACCTCAAAAGATTCTCCCCAAGGAGAGTCATGGAAAGCTTAGGTTTGGCCCCTCTCCAAGGTCTCCTTGGCTGCTTGGTGGCACAGTACATAGAATTCTGGCCCTGGAGTCAGGAAGACCTGAGTTCAAATTTGGCCTCAGACACGCAATAGCTATGTTACCCTGGGCAAGTCACTGAACTTCTGTCTGCCTCAGTTTCTTCAACTGTAAAATTGGGATAACAACAGGAACTGCTTCCTAAGGTTATTGTGAAGATCAAATGAGGTGACAGTTATAAAATACTTAGCATGATACCTGGCACACAGTAGGCATTTAGATGCTTATTCCTTCCCCTTCCCATAAAGAGACTCAATGGACAAAGAAAGTCAGGTATAGGACCGCTATTTATTTCCTCCTTAAGATTCAAGCAACAGTAACATATGCCCCAGAGGGTGATACTTAATATCTCAGAACATGTTACATTTTGTAAGACTGCTGAGTAGACAGTCTCCTGGTAAACTTGGATTTGGATTATCCTCCTCTTGGTGGTTCTCTTCTTCAGGCAGGGGTCTGCTCGTAAATGTTTGATAGCAGGTTCTTTGGAAGGAGAGAGAAATGTGTTCCTGGCATACTTTTAAGTTAAATGTGTGTTAACATTATCTCCATCTCTTTCTTCAGCTAGAAAGAAGCACAATGGTACGTCAGGCCCTGGTTTGTGGTTTGCCTGTTTCTGAGGTATAAATGCTCACAGTGAAAATTTAACAACCAGCTCACCAATCCCCAACCCTCTGCCTTCAGCACTTCCTTGGGGAACCTCCCATAGTGAAGCTAGATCTGACTAAGGGACTCATGCTCTAGACCACTGAATCTCAAATGATCGCCCATCCCCTTGACCCCAGGCTGAAAACTATTCATCTCAGGATTGCTATTTGGTTACTATGTTCACAATTAAAACACACACACACACACACACACACACACACACACACACACACAGGAAAGGTAGCCAGGAACCCAAGGCTGGCCTAGGAACACACAGGCTCACTGGATGAACAGTTGGGGTGAGGGAGGGTACCTACTTCTTCCTGCTGTGTATGGGAAATTCCTAAAAGGTAGTTTTTCATGCTACAAGTTGCGTAACTCTTCTGGGTCAGTAACCAATCCTCTCTGGTGCAGCTGGGGGACGGGAAGGGAGACCTAGAGACTACACAGGGAGAGCTGCATCAGCCCAAGCAAGGAGTCCTTCGTCACTGGTCCTGGAAGTCCTCAGAGTTGCTCAATGCACGCTCCACGAGATGTCCCTGCGGGCCCATTCCTTTGACCGTTGCCTGGGTCCCTGGGGTATTCCAATCCAACTCCTGCTATACCTATCCATCAGTCAACATTTATTAAACACCTGTTGTGGGTTAGGTACTGTTCTGTGTGCTAGGGATTCAAAGACCAAAGTGGAACAGCCCCTAGGAGACAACATGCACACTTGTAAGTCTATGCAGTCGGTATAAGGCCACTTCAGTGGGGAGGATCCTCACGGAGGAGGTGGTGATGAGCTGGGCCTGAAGGAAACCAGAGATTCTGAGAAGCAGAGGTAGGGAGAGAGTTCACTCTAGGCCTGGGGACAGCCTGGGCAAAGATATGGAGATGGGGCATAGAGTGTATTCTGTGTGCGTGTGCGTGTGCATGTGTGTGTGTGTGTGTGTGATATACAGCAGGCACTGCATTCCAACAAAGGCTGGGCCCAGAGCTCCCACACTGGGTATCATCCACATACGGACAGGTGATGAGTGAAGTGGTGACTCGGGACATTCAACAAGAAAGCAGAATCAATGATCCAGGGTTTCTGGAGGGCAGAGGAGTCCAAAATGGAGCTGCTGAAGAAGCAAGAGGAAACCAAGGGGAAAGAGGAGGAGGAGGAGGAGGAGCCAGGTGAGGTGTGACAGAAGAGGCACCATGTCAGATCTGGGGATTCCCAGGTCATTGTTGACTTGACAGAGATGGCAAAGAGCTGAGGAATGATGGAAAGGAAGGAAATGGAAGCATTGAGTGACAGCCAGAATCAAAACGAGAGCACTGAATAAAAAATTCAATAGAGAAAAAAGTCACGTGTTCCATTTGAGTTTAAAAAAGTGAGCTTTGGGCCTTCAGCTCTTCTCCCAAGTTGGTGCAGGATCCGCTGCTGTAGTCACATCCCTGAAACAAGATGGTGAAGGTTGGAGTTAAGGTCTGGTGACCAGGGCTGCATTCAGCTCAGATGGGGTAGACATTGTGGTCATCAATGACTCCTTCATTGACCTCAACTACACAGTCTGTATGTGTCAATGATTCCACCCATGGCAAGTTCCAGGGCACCGTCAAGGCTGAGAATGGAAAGCTGGTGATCAATGGAGAAGCTGTAACCATCTTCCAAGAGCTGGGACCCCCCAGTATTAAAAGGGGAGACACAGGAGCCCGGTATGTTGTAGAGTCCACTGGTGTCTTTACCACCATGGAAAAGGCCAGGCTCACTTGAAGGGTGGAGCCAAGCAGCTCATTATCTCTGCCCCTTCTGCTGATGCCCCAACATTCATGAAGGGAGTGAACTATGAGGAATGGGATAATTCCCTTAAGATTGTCAGTAATGCCTCCTGTGCCACCAGCTGCTTGTCCCCCTTGGTCAAGTTGATTCATGACAACTTTGGCATTATGGAAAGACTCATGACCACAGTCTATGCCATGACTGCTTCCCAGAAGTAGGTGGCCCTTCTGGCATGATGGGTGTGGTGCTGCCCAGAAGATCATCCCTGCTCACATAGGTGCTGCTAAGACTGTAGGTAAGGTTGTACCTGGGCTGAATGGGAAGCTGACAGGCATGTTCTTCCATGTTCTTACTCCCAGTGTCCCTGTTGTGGATCTGACCTGCTGCCTGGAGAAACCTGCCAAATGTGATGATACCAAGAAAGTGGTGACTCTTGAAGGATATCTTGGGCCACAGAGAGGACCAGGTCACATCCTATGACTTTCACAGTGACACCCATCCTTCTACCTTTGATGCTAGTGCTGGTATTGCCTTCATTGACAGTTTTGTCAGGCTTGTTTTCTAGTATGGCAATGAGTACGGTTATAGTAATAGACCTCATGGGCTCCACAGCCTCCAAGGAGTAAAGGGGAAAGCTGGGGATCTTCATCCCCAGCCAAAAGAGAAATTCCACCACCGGGGAACCCACATCCCTAACTTACATCTCTATACTGGGAATCCCACGCCCCATTCACATCTTTGCCCCAAAACACTCCTGTAGTAGGGGGAGAAGCATAGATTCCTATATCGTGTACCATCAATAAAGTAACTGTGTTCAGAGGGTAAGGTGGGGAGGGAGAGGAGGAGAAGAAGAAGGAGGAGGAGGAGGAGGAGAGAAGAGAGAGAGAGAGAAAGAGAGAGAGCGCTTTGGAAGTGCAAGATGATGAGCAAATGAAACTAGATTGCATTTTGTCTGGAAAAGACTAGGGGACTTGGTGGGCAATGAGTTCAATATGAGTCAACAGTGTGATACAGCAGGGAATCTGATATGCCAGGTGAATCTTGGGTTACATTAAGTTTCCTGGAATGTGATGTCATGGGCCAAAAACTGGAAGGAAACCATAGGAGCTCAGGGGGTGCTTTCCTC